ATGCAAGTTCTTATTCACCAGTGGCAAAAATGTATAAATAATGGTGGTGACTATGTTGAAAAATAGCGTTTTGTAGCTGAGAATTTGCTTTATCAAAGAGTACTATTATACTCTTTGTATCTGCTGTAGTTTCCATGGAAATAAATAGGAGGCATTACTTTCAGAGCGACCTATGTATGTTCAGATATTTTGTTTGTAGAAGAAACATAGCCAAAGTCAATGAAACTACTACAACACATACAGGCTACAGAAGATTTACATTTGTTATATATTGTTTAAATACATATCTTAGTTTTACAGACTGTATGGAACATTGTGAAGACAGTAGCCTCCCTTCTATTTAAAACCTGGTGAGAGCAATATGAAGTGCTGCTGCTGCAGTTTACTCTGCTATTTTTAGATGTAAATGAGCACTGCAGCCCATGTCTTTAAAAACAATTTTTTTACTTCACTATTAACAATTGAAACACACTGATGTGGGATACATTATCAAGTTGCTGAAGGTTAGCCTTTCTTCATGTCGTGTTTGTGAGTGACTGCGCTGTACTAATTAAAAGCATTGTCATGGCTATTGCTATAGAAACATTTAAATTGGCATCATTGCTAACAAATCCTTGCTATTGATCCCAGCAGGGCTTATTGCACACTACACCTGAAGAATCTAAATAGAATATTTTACTTTCAAAAGGACTTTAAGAAGATACTTTTTTTTTTTTGTTTTTTTCCAGTTGCTAACGTGCTCAGGAGAATCATGTCTTTTATATAGACATAATTCATTTATCTGAAACTCTTGCAGGGTTCTGGTATCAGAGTCCTTCCTGCAAGGAGACACTGTAATGATTCCAGGTAGCCACCATGGATCCCTCAAAATGTAAAATTCAAATCCACTCAGATGCTCTGATTTGCTGAGTGGGGAAAGATTAAAATTCTCCACAATCTAAGGCATTAAAATGTTTAGTATGGGAATAGCTCATCTTAAGAAAGTTTCCAATGTACCTACAAAATTAAAATAAAATAAAATAAAATAAAATAAAATATTTTTCACTATTTAACAAGAATAATAAATTGACTGTAGTATTGTGCAAACAGTGGAAGCAGAAGTGAAGCAGTAAAGATTGTGAATATAATTTAAACCAGTTACTGAGAGCAAAAATCATTAAAATTCTGCTCTCTGGTTTCAGACATAACGCCTTTTCTCCTCTTAGAAGAAATCTAATTGCTGTAATGTTTAGCAGATCCAGAATCATCTAGACTAATAAATCTCTCTTTACAGCTAGAACATCCTACTATGGGAAATAACAGGCTTTATTTATTTATGTATTTGTTAGTCATTTCAAAATCAGGCTTCCATCATTCTTGATGCAAGGTTTAAGTCCCTCTGTTAACTAACGAGGAAATCAGTAGAGGGCAGCACTACACAGAAAACCTCACTAAATGCGAGAACCGATATTACTCCGAGGAGAATTCCCTTGTTAAAAGGCTGGTATTTGAAAGAAATAATTCTGTATAGTGTATCTAGACCACCTATGCACTGCAAATTGTGCCCCCTTGGGCATCTACTCTTACTTTTCCAGACCACACCAGAAAACTTCTGTTTCAGCATAACAATATACCTACTGAACCTTCCAAGTATACCTCCCGACTCACCTGAAGAGCTGACTGTAAGACATGATGCATAAACCAACGGCCACTTTGAAGGATTTCTTTGAGTACAATGAAAAGAGTATTATATACATCTAATGCATTTGGATGAGTATAGCACACTGATTTTGGACAGAAAGGAATAAGGAGAATTTGAGAAAATTAAACATTTCCTTTTGAAATAGCAAAAATTAAACAATTGAGTTTTTCTATGTTACTCCCATTTGATATTATCACAAAATTGAACATACAATCACACATCTCCATATGACTCCCTGAAAATACAGGCTACTCTGAAAGTAGTGCCTCTTATTTATTTCCATGAAAAGTACAAAAGATACAAAGAGTATAATAGGAGTATTTCATAGTGAAAATTCTCAGTCACTAAATGCTTTATTTTTCAACATAGTCACTGCCATATTCACAAGTGATGAGCAAGGGTCTACATAGAATCATAGAATCATAAAATTACTCAGGTTGGAAGGGACCTCAAGGATCATCAAGTCCAACCACAGCGTAACCATAGTACCCTAACTCTAACAACCCTCTGCTAAATCATATCTCCGAGCAACACATCCAAACAGCTCTTAAACAGATCCAGAACTGTAAAAATCTGCACTAGAGGAGGTGAGCCACTGTCTCTGCCATCACTGCTGAAACGCGGCATATACCACATCACTGTGTTCACATCCACAAACATAAATATTTAGCAAATGTTGATGAATGACAGTGGGTGCTATTTTTTTCCACATGGAGGAGCTCTATGTAACATCTTTGCTTCATATGCACTTCCAGGTCAAATGCCCCTCTACTGCCATCTGTCACAAAGCAATAAAATGTAATGGAAACATGGGGAGGTTCAACCTCTACTGCCATACCACCAATATCCATTTCTGATGTTGTGGCCTGATGTAATAAAAAAGAAGGCATTACTTTCAGAGCAGCCCTCATATATTGATATTCACAATTTTTCCCCCAGTACTGTTTCAAAATAAATAAATAAATAAATAAATAAATAAATAAATAACAATAAACCAATCTAAATCAAGCAATGTTTCCAAGGTTAAGACAAGAACCTTGAGAGTCATTTTACAAAGTAGGAGATCTGCCCTTTATATAGAGTATTTTCAAAAGTACCTGCTGTTGCTCTTTACTGCTATTCTACCATACCTCGAGCATAAATCTGCAGAGTCTGAATAGGCCCTGAATGGTGGTGTATTTGGTGGTCCAGATAACCATGTTTTATGTGCTACACTGATAGACAGTTATATTCAGTAATAAAAATTACTTCTGTCTATGTTATACAGGGAATAGGAATAATTAAATTTAGACATTTAAAATCAGGATAAAAGATTGAACTTAATATTGTCCTGTTTTTTTTGTTTGTTTGTTTTTGTTTTTTTGTTTGTTTGTTTGTTTTTCTTATTTGTTGGTTTATTTTATCAATCTGTTTTGATCTTTATGGAATAAGCATGGAACAAGGCAATCACATAATGTATTTAACATGAACTATTTAACAATGTCAAAAATCACTGACATTAAATTAGCCACAAGAGAGCTGCCTTTTGTCCTTGCACACTCCACAGGAACATATTGGACATTAAGAGATAGAAAATAAGATTTTGAGCGTACCTACAGAATTCAAAGAAAACACATCCACTAATGAGTGCCAAGATGTATGTACAGGATGCATGTGCAGGATTTTATGTAAATGGAATTTACTTTGTGCTCTGATTCTTCAATTAAAATAAAGCAAAATAAAATAAAAGTTTTCCTGTATTATATCCATTATCTTCTGCATAAATTTGACACCTATTAAATTGATTTTTTTGTTGTTTGATTTTGAACATATTAGAGAGTGATAAATATTCTAAGCTCTCACTTCTTGCTCAGATAAAACTGTTTGAAGTTACTAAAATGCTAAGACTTTGATCTTTCTTTCAAACTGGCAGTTAAGATCCTGAGACCACAAAGAATATCGCAATTTTAAGGAGAACTCCACACAAGGTCACAACTTTATCTGTGAAATCATTAAAGCATTTAGAATATTATTCATGGAATGTTTTTTCTTAAATAACTTTGGCTCTCAACTAATCAATAATTTTCATTTTAAAAAATCCTATTTCCATAAATTCCCATTGAAAAAGACATTTCCATCCCCCAAATAAAATAATTTTAAAAAAGTAAAGGTAGCTTCTGTTAAAGTAGAGTTTTGAGAGAAAGTAAGATGGGTATATACATTTTTGGAAAATTTTACAATTTCAGTATATTCTAAAATTTTTGGGAGTCATGCTTTCTTGTCACTATCACTGTCCATGAACTAGATTCCTGATATTTTAGGTGCTGAACTGCTTAACTAGGTTTTCTGTAATAAACATCACAGCTCAGATAAGGATATCCAAAAACTAATCAGGTTTTACTGGTAACCCAGGTTATAAAAGCGACTGAGACATTTGGAATCTCACTTGTGCTGCCAAATCAAGACTATTCCATTTCAAACAAGACAAAAAACAAAACAATAAGAAAAAAAGATTTTGGTTAAGCTGTATTTACAAAATTCTACAGGAGTTTTTTTGTAAGAATCAATAATAACAATATTCTATGTAATTTGTTTCAGATAGAAAAAATAAATACGCAACATATGCATAATTCTGACCCAAAAGTAGAATTTTGTAAATCTCAGCACAATTCCAATTAAAAATAAATAAATAAATAAATAAATAAATAAATAAGCAACTTTCCCAACTAGCTCTTGCAAAGAAACCTGTTAAAGTCATCAATAATACTTTAATTTTCATTTTCTATCATGAGCTCTTTTGTGCAGAAACCACAATGTATTCTATGGACATTTGACAAAAAGGAGTCTTCTTGTATATGAAATAAGAGAATATTCAGACTTGCAGATAATAAGAGAAGATTCATCGGACTGAGATGGAAGAGATTAGACTACAAGTTTTCTTACTACATGACTTTTTTTATTGTTTGAAGAGGAAAATGTTAGCTAATCTTTTCTGATCAAAAGGCATTTTACTCAAGTAATGTCTTAAATTGCTGTCTATTTTTAGTGTGAGAAGGTATAATGGAAGAGGATGAATGTAGCATCAAAGGACTTAAATTTAAACTCTAATTCCTGTATGTAATTGTCTCAAGAAAAGGTTCAAATACACAACTGTTTTTTATTCATACAGTTTTATGTAATTTGCATGGGTCGTTGTCTTGATCTCTAGGCTATTGGTAAACTGCGACGTACTCAAATACTTTTCTCCATTTCCTAGGTCCTACTTCCAAGAGGAATATAACATTTGAAAATTTTGTCTGGTGAATTATTACAGAAGTGGAGTATAATAGCATCTCTGTAAATGATGAGGGCTTATTCCTTCTTGACAGTTTTGCTTTGGAGCTCTGTGTTTCATGGTATTCATATGATGCCGTCACAAAGAAGAACTAACAAGTACTCACACAGTGAAAGGATAACAAGACTGTCAGAGAATGATGGAAAAACACTGCATCGTACCAAGCGTGGATGGATGTGGAATCAATTTTTCTTGCTGGAAGAGTACACAGGTCCAGATACTCAATACGTGGGTAAGGTAAGTCCTGCATTTAAGGTATTCTTTGCAGGTGATGCATCTGACAACCCTGGAATTTCCCCTCCGTTTTTTTTGCTTTTTATGAGGCAGCATTTCCAGTTTCTCATATAAGTCAAAGAAAACACCTGTGATGGAACACTTGAGTCTTGCTTGATTTCTCCAAGTTTTTTGGGAAATTGAGTAGTTTAGTAAATAAAAAGGAAACTGTTCAGACTAGCATGGTACAGTTTCTTATTACATATGCCTATGCAAGTTTTATCACTTAATCATTTCCAGCTTTCAACTGTTAAACATAAATATTAGATAAGGACATAGAAAAGCTGTGCTTTCATTCATCTACATTGTGGCATTCGCCAGTTTACCAGGATGTATGCTTCTTCAAGTGAAACGTAAAATCTTATCTATCAATAATAAAATTGCTTCCTCTGCACAATTCTAAGCACAGAAAAGGTGTAAGAGAAGAAAAAAAAAAAAAAAACAAAAAAAAACCAATGTTTTTCATCATCTATGTGATAAACTGAGATCTTTACTTAATGGTTTGAAAGAATTCAGAACTTCTGAATTCCAGCTCTCCAAAGCTCTGTCTTTCCTGATATCACACAGCTCAAGGGTTTCCATATTTCCAGTCCTTTGTGCTGTCCACTATCTACAGATCTGCCTTGTCTTCTGATGTAATTGTAAAATCTTGATATTAATTTAGGGCAACCACCCAGAATGACTCACAAACTAAAGAAATGTTTATCTTAAAACAGTAATAATTGTTAATTCCAACTTGTGTCATTCATTCACAGTGCTCTCACTAGCAAGGGTTGTCCTGTAGCAGTCATTTTCTGGTGCCTAACTGCCATGTGGATTGAGATATTTTTAATTAAAAGACTGCAAATTGTTTTTGAACATTTGTTAACACCTCTAATCATGTGAAGTATGATCATCTGGAAAGCAAGCTTTATTATGAGAAAAATGTCAGAGAAACCAACTATAATTATAACTATGAACTTGATTCTGACCCATTTATACTAAGACCATACTCACATGATTCTGTTGCAGTAAGTAGAAATAAGATAATTCCAAATAATTTTATTGCTAGATTTATTTATCAGTGCAAAAAATAGGTAGCTGTGGTATAAGTCAACCTTTATTGAAATGATCTTCAATGAAGGATAAACTAACTGTGTAATTTCTAAAATAAAATATTGATAGGAAGTACATTACGGAATAAGCTTACAAAGAAAACATATAATAAAGTGCACAGATCTCCATAGAAGCTCTACCTCAACTCAAAGAAATATATTTTGTTAGGACAGAAAGTTCATATAGAGGACAAGTAAGTAGCAAATATAAGAGTTTATTGTTCCAGACACAATACTATAGATGAATGGACTTCAGACCATCTATGCATTCTAAATCTCAAATAAATTAAGCATACCTAAAGACTGCTATCAATATCTTTGTTTCACACAAAGAAAATTACTCAGCGTAAGTCTACATGGTATATTGTATCAGGTGTTAATTTACTCTGCAATCATTCCAAACTAATTAAATCCATTGGACCTTATTAACAAAGCTGAGTTCAAGAAAGAAAGGAGATGCCCATGCAGCGGTATAAGTACCTAAGATGATATATTTATTACAACTCAGGGAGTGTGCTGAGATTTTTTACATTTCACCACAAAATCTTGTACAGAGGCCCTGACGGAGCAGCACCAGTAGTGATTTTCTAACAGAAATCACCACACACACTATCCTGTGTTCCAAAGCAATGGGCGTTGGATTGGAGTGGTGTAATCCATATAGTCGTATTAACTTTAGTACAGTTGGACAAAATGGTTGTGACTGTCCTCAGTAGCATAAAAACACAGCCATTATATTTGAGTTAGATCAGATTTTCCCCACTACATGTGGCATACACAGGAACTCCTAAAGAGAGCTACTAGAATTAGCAACTAAGAAATTTGTTTTTTATAAAAAGCAATTTTTAAAGATTATCTCCAAAAAAGACTTAAATCTCAGGTTTAGTATTCTTCTGCTCAAAGTGATGGCAATTAGGAAAAAAAAAAAAAAAAAAGTGTGAAGAGAAAGCACTTCTGTTCCCACTTGTAGGTACTATCTGGTAGTAAGAATTATCCAGTCCCTCTTTAATATGAATACACACAGAGAGATTACAAGGGCAGAATAATAAATGCTGTACTAGAAATAAAATAAAATAAATTAAGAAAAATTATCAGAAAATAAACATCTAAGGGATTATAGGTATAGTAGTAATAAATTAGTTTTCCCTTCACATTTTGATTTTAAAATAATTTTACTTCATTATGTTACTGCTTGTGTTTTGTGAGTGAGGTTATTTTGCTGACGCTTCATTTTGTTGTGCATTCTGTTATCAGCAGTGGGGCAAAATAACACATTTCCCAGTAAGGCATATTATTATACAATTTACTAAACATCATCAATCCATGGAGAGGAGATGGAGAGTTATTCTGTGACACCCAGACACCTCTCCATCCCATCAGTCAGTCCTCCAGCTTAGACCAGTACCAGAGGCACAGGGAACAGAACACTCCCTCCAACCACTTGGCTATCTAAATCCTACCAACAGTCTGGCCTCTATGTGGATACTTCCACCTTGGACTCAGCCCTGACATGTCAGAGAACCCTAGAGGGTGAGAGGTAGCCCTTCCTGCATGCCTGATGTGCTAACATCTTAACTACTTACTGCCTTTTAAAATTAGATTGTCTGCAGCCAAAGGTCACACAAGCAAGTAGGCTCAGAACAATCTTTCCCCATATCTACGATTGAATATTAATTGTTACCAGGGTTACTGTACCCTCTAGTCTCCTTCCCAAATGTCTTCCAAGAATGGAAAGTTAACAGCTCCATCATCCCTGTTCTTGTTTGTTTGTTTGTTTGTTGTTACTTTCTTGCACGTACAAGAGTAGTCTAAGCAGTTAAAGCTGACAGATATAATCATGGTCTCATTTATCTGAGTGGTGCTTGGAGACAGGCTTCATCCTGTGACAAGAAATAACTCAAAATGAGGTCAGGTCTACTAAGAAGGTAGATGATAAACCAGCTCCTTGCAAAGCTGGAGGATAGCTCAGAGACTGCTAAAGCAGGTAGCATGGTTTTAATTGACTCTGAGCAGCTAGAGGAAAGTTTTGTTCCCAGTTACTGCTAGATAGCTTTTGGACAGAAGCAGTGGTAATGGTGATAGGTGACATTAAACAGACACCAGTAAGTGTGTCCAATGCATTTAGCAGAAGTAGAAAATATGCTTTGTAAGCAAAAGATTCAACAGGTGTCAAAAGACTTGATGTCTGGAATAATTTTAGTAAGGAGAGGACTCAAAGGACAGAGGTGAAACATTGACCGTCTTGAGGCACCAGCATACATGTAAACTAATTACCCTGTGAATATTATAGAAAGAGGAGTAAGAAGAACCTACCATATATCTGTCATGTATTTTTCTTCCCTTTTCCTTCTTCAAACGATCCATCTGTATCAAATTGTTGAATGTTTCTCTATGTAAAAGATAAGAGATTAGGAAGACTTGAAATTTCATACATTCTGTTATTAATACCTGAAACAATGTAAGAACTGTTTATAACATCTTTTAATTCATCTTCATTTTAAATTAATTTAAGGAAGCATCTTAGAGAAAACAGTGGTTACTACATGTACAAAGAACACAGAGGAAGATAAATTTTGCTCTGGAGAATTTGTGACTGGAATATTTGGTCAGATATGAGAAGTTTTCACGGGATACAGTGAGGGGAATGGTACAACTCATTCTACCTATAAAGAATTCAGGGAAAAAAAAAAAAAAAAGAAAAAAAAAAAGGATACAATATAATACTCAAAGTTTAATGTTTGAGGGGTTTTTATTTTTAAACAAAAAAGGAAATTTGTCAATATTTTATGAAATTTAAAGTGGTTGAGGAAAAAAAAAAAAGAAACTGTAATGTGGTATTCTTTGGTTTCACATTGGAAAAGATCATGGATTCAATTTTTCAGCTGCTACTATATTTAATGAGGTAAAAAACAAACAAACAAACAAAAAAACATCTGAAGCCCCAGAAAGGACCTAAGAAATGGAATCTAAAACACTAACTTTCTATGAGAGAAAAGTCTATCAAAATTTATCACTATCACTGCCTAAACAAATATATCAAGGAAAAAACTTAAGGAAATGGACATGCAATTTAAGAATATTAAAGTGTTGATGGGATCATGTCCATTAATTAAAGAAAAATAAAATGCACTGGAGTCTCAAAACAGATAGCCCTTCAGGGGTACTTAGATTTACTTTCCAAAGCTAATACTGAATTTATTAGCCCCTATTTCTAAATAACTTAACTGATACTCAGTAAAAGTGCTTCAGATGTGCAAAATGTCAGATATCCCACATCTTTAACTGTTGTCATTATGAAATATCCCTAGGTGGGAAGAAACAGACCTTATCAAAATCAACAATTTTGGAAAACACAATTCTTTATGGTTTGCGAAAATATATGTAAAAGATTTCAAGAGAGATATTTTTTTTTTCCTTTTATTAAACTGCTCAATTATGTTTTCATATGAAAGCTAGTCTTTTTCTGCATAGAACAGGCAGTTAGCTAATCAAAGGTAGTTGAAGGATAGATAATCTGTGAAGTTTCATGCAATTTATGCGAGAGCAACGTTAAACTATACAATACCAAACATTTAAAATGTATATCTATCCCAAAAATTAAAAGAAAGGGAACAATAACAACATTTTTTACGCCACTGTAAGAAACGGAACTTTTATTTTCTTATTAAAGGGGGAAATACAAATAAAAAAAGAACTAACATTGCTCAAAATTAACTACTCCATGAGTAAACTCCCATTTAATAACTTTCATAAAAATAAACAAACTGAGCTCTACATGTCATAAGAGCCACGTAAAGTGGATGCCAACTGATGAAAAATCTCTATTCTACCAGTTAACAAATGAGTTTGATTTATGACATTTTCCTACAA